GTAAATGTCTGCACATGAGACTGCCCTAGAAGGTTGCAGTGAATACTCCCAGACCTATTGGTTGCTGCAATGGTCAAGGACATCCTTTTCAAAGTCCATCTGTTGAGAAAGCAGTGGCCTATATTGGCATGTGCATGAGGATTCAAGAACTCTTCTTCATTGCTCTTAGAACCTCAGTGGGACTTACATTCCATTTCATGATCTGTGTACATTGACAGTGTCTCCATGGTGTTCTTTTATTCTAGGATCTATCTTTGGCAACAGTGGTACAAGTAAGTAATAGCCTGGGCCAAACCAGGCTACTCAGGGTGAGTTGTTCACTTCCAGATGATGTTTGAGCATGACAGTGGATGACTGTTCTGGGGAAAATGCTTATAGTTTTCTAAAGCAGGAATGGGGAACCTGTGGCCCACTAGGCAACATGGGCTCAAAATCCCACCAGCAAGGTTACAGACAAGGGCTACTGGCACCCATGCCAGCAAGGGCCCCAGACTTTTAGCTTTCTTTCTTTCTTTCTTTCTTTCTTTCTTTCTTTCTTTCTTGTCAATCAGACATTTCTGAAGAAAGTTAGGATACAAAACACAGAGGCAGCTCTTGTGTTTTGGCACTCAGCAGGTTGTACCATATTTCACTTTATCACTGTTGCTGAGCAATCAATGCCCACGTCACTTCATTTACTCATTCTATGCTGCTTTTACATACTAAAACACAATTGGCTAGCTTTGGTCTGTTTTACTCAGAGGTAGAAACAAATGAGGTCTTTTTCCTACTGAGATTTCACCATGGTCAGCATAACCAGTAGGCAAGGGATGATGGGAGATGTAGTCCAGCAACATCCCTGCAGGTTTCCCATCCCTGTTCTAAGCCTTACGTTCACATTTAGCAGCTGTTCGCAGAGCTCCAGAAGCTCACAACATCTTTTTATCATTTCTCCCTCTGCTTATGGTCTTGTATCTTGAATAAAATGTGGTTTATGAGATACAGGCTTGTTAATTCATAGCTCCACTTTGTGGTGGGGAAGCAGGAGCCTGGTTCCCCATGTTTGCCAACATATTACTAGTTGCACCAAAAAATAAACTATTAGCAATTGTATGTTGGACTCTGCTCTGCACAGTATTTGCTCTACGCTGCCATACAGCAAGAAAGGAAGAGAAAACATCACATGTTGCATTCAGTTCAATAAAAGTTCATGGCCATTTCCACCAACTATTAAATTATATAGGATTTTTCTGAAGAGCAAGACAAGGATTTGAGCCCCCAAATGAGAAAATGCACTGCAATATTCTTATTATTCAAAAAGAGAGTGGCCGTGGTTCCAGTGTGGCAGCAGGCAACCCTAAAGTTTAAAGGCGTATTCAGTGGTTGTTCTAAAAGAATTAGACCCTATAGAAAGTGATAGGAAATTGCCTAAACGGTTAGTCTGAATGAAAGTGGATTCCTTTAATGGCTAATTCCTTGTTCATGGGGCGGTCCTGCTTTGAACAGCAATTCTATCCAAATGGCATCCTAGGGTTCCATGTTTGTTCGCGTCTCTGTGGCTTGGTGTCAAATTTGCTTTAAATGAAAAACATCTGCTGCATGAGTAAATGTAACTGCCAGAGCCCTCTGCTCAAGCTGGGATCTGAAAACTAAGCTCTGTACTCTCTGGTTTTCATTCTGCTGTCTGTAATGGATAGCTGGAATTGATGAGTACAAAAGGAAAAAAAATTCCAAAGGCAAAAATTGCAGGTGTCTAAATGTCCACTAACTTTTTCAGTTGAGATAAGGGGCCTTGGGGTATCATTACTGAGTCAGGGGTTTGCTCGTTGTGGTCCTTGTATCAGTGTGTTTCTATCAGTTCTTGATCTTCCCAGCTTGATAGTCTTTTCGAGAAACTGATGCTACACAACCATGATAGCTAGGTGTGTTCTTGACACCTATCCTGCTGCTTGCAGTGCCCCAGTTCTCAGATTTGCCCCCCATTTTTTACCAGGCTAAATGCTTAAAACAGCACTTAAGGACTGCAAGAGGAGCTGAATCAATTTCAAGAAAGTCTGAACAATCATGCCAGCAATTCCTTAGGTTTACAAAACTGGTCACCATTCCATGTATGCCAGCAATCTCTTTTACATTGTGCTGGTTGTGTAGTCTACAGAACACAGCATAATTATCTAAGGCCCGTTCATTTAAAGCAGTATCATACCAATTTAACTTCCGCCAAAGGATTCTAGGAACTATAGTTTGATAATAAGACTGTTGATAGTTGTTAGGAGACCCTGCTTCCCCTTACAGAGTGGCTTAACAATCCAGGGACCTCTTAGAAATTGTAGCTCTGTGAGGAAGATAGAGGGGCCACCTAACAACTCTCAGCACCCTTAACAAACTATAGCTCCCATGATTCTTTGGGATTTGTGGCTGCTTAAAGTGATATGATCCTGCTTTAACTGTATAGTGCAGATGGGGCCTAAAGCAGCAGTCCCATACCCCACCAAACTCAAGGGGACTTACACCTGAGCGGAAGTGTATAGGAGCAAGCTGTAACTCTAAATCATCATCCACCAGTTTCCTGAGACAGAGGTAGAAGAACATTTACCACCATCAAAGTTTAAACTTCAAAGGAAGCAAATCTGCAAGCTCAGAACACCAGCAAATCTGGGGCCTCAACAAATTAACGGACAAAAATTGATCATGACCACAGTCCTTTTCTTTTGTATATTCATTCATTCCTTAAGTGCCATATTTGCCCTTGAAACTGTATCTTTCCTTTCATCCTGCTGTAAGTCAAGTCAGAGTAGAATGCTTTCCTGTAGCTTCATTGACCTAGCAAGGGGAAAGAAAAGTTATTCCCAGAATCACTTAAACAAGTAGTTGTATTTCTCTTGCATCATAATGACAGCACTGAACATCCAGCAAGCACTATTTATAAAATTAATGTTATGCACTTGGCTAATGATATTTAGCTTCTAAGTTGATTAATTCAGCCGCATCATATGTGAAGAAACAATTAACCTTTAGCTGCAGATGGGATTTCAGAGAGGTTAAATGTCTTTCCAACGGTAGCTATGCCAAAGATAAGAGTAAACCCTATACACAGGACTCATGCTATCTCCCCAAAATCCTTGTCTCATTTTCATTTTATGCCTGCTCTATTCCCCCCTGCAGATATATGTGTTTTAAATGGAGAAAATATTTCAGGAAATATAGATGAACATCTAGAACAATGGGAAATAATCTACCTCTGAGAATTCACATAGATATAGGTTGGAGGGGGTTCTAGTGGATCCTCGCAGAATCCACAATGATCTGCTTTGCAGAGGTCTGCAAGCTTGAGAATGCATTTCCAGAAGATGCTTAAGGAATCTGAAAAGAGTTCTGAAAAAATGTCTGCATTGGCCTGATGGAGTTTCCTTACCCTTTTTGCATTTGAATTCAGATTGTTGCAGTTTTTTTAATCAGGCAAAAATTCTTCCACACCCAACATTATTGGTTATAGGGAAATCTCAAAGCTACTGGATTAATATACTGGCCATTTATTGAAACAGGAGGGCAGAATTACTTCTGTCTGTCCATTGCAGAGGAAATAGGTGAAGTTGGTCCAAAGAATAGGTGAGGCTTGGGATTCTATGAAAGACTCTTATCTGTGGCAGAAACACAGAGACGGAAACATTGGCATTAGGTGCAAAACTCCAATTTCACTTTAATAGTGTCTTCTTCTTCTTCTTCTTCTTCTTCTTCTTCTTCTTCTTCTTCTTCTTCTTCTTCTTCTGGTCTAGTTCATGAATTATTGAGTTTTCCCCATAGTATTTAACTGCTGGGAAAAACTACAGTGAGATTATCTTTAGGTTGTGTTAAATGTTATGTGAACATTCAAGTCATCCACCAGTTGTTGGCACATGATAGCCTGTTTAGTAATTGATGACTGGGCAACATGTACATCTTCAGCAGTCTTCTGTACCATTAGTCTGCTGGACAAAAGATGCACATTAACTTTTGTTTCTCACAAGCTGCACATCTTACCTCAAGCCAATGTGGTTTTTTCCTGTGAGAAAACTGCTTTCTTAGCCCTCAAAGCACAATATTCTATACTGGAGGCAAGGGGAAATTCTTTATTTATTTATTTATTTAATCAATCAATCTGTATACAGTGGTACCTCAGGTTACATATGCTTCAGGTTACATACGCTTCAGGTTACAGACTCTGCTAACCCAGAAATAGTGCTTCAGGTTAAGAACTTTGCTTCAGGATGAGAACAAAAATCATGCTCCGGAAGCGCGGCAGCAGCGGGAGGCCCCATTAGCTAAAGTGGTTCTTCAGGTTAAGAACAGTTTCAGGTTAAGTACGGACCTCCGGAACGAATTAAGTACTTAACCCGAGGTACCACTGTCCTGCCCTTCATTCGTAGAACTCAGGGAGGTTCACAACATAAAAATACAATATAAAAAACCACAAAATACATAATAAGAGAAAGAACAAACTAAAACGATAACTCCCCTCCCTGCCACACGCATTTGCACAGAATACACCCTTGATAAAATGGTTTAGACATCCCTCGTGCTAACCTTTAAAGAGTCTTGGGACTAGGAATGTCAGAGAATTCCAACAGAAAAGGAAATGGGAGCAGAAATTGCCAATGTTCGCTTATTTGACATATCCAGAATGGAAATGAATCCAGCAAATACATGCAGTATTTGCAATTGTTGTGTTCAACCCATAAACAATATGTAATTGATCACATACACACACACAAAATTTGGATAGCATTTCCTTTATATTGAAATGAATGGCCCTTTCATTGAAATGGATGGCATTAAATAATGTAATGATAGTGTACTTAATTATGTAAATAATTGCACAAAATTCTACCACAGCAGACAGCAAGCTAAGTCTAGAACTGCAAATGAGAAAAATGGAGAGAAACTGAAATTGACAGATTGCACCCATCTCTAGCGGGAATGTATCACTGTTATCTCATGCTAACCATCTTTGGAGTTTCCATTGCTGTGTCTTCCATCCTCTGTTCCAGCTTGACAAGATGAAGTCTCTTGACTCTTGAGGTCTCTGCTGTCAGGCATTAAGCCAAGAAGCCACGATAATATTCCTTCTGACTGTCACACAGCAGGTGGTCTGTAAAGAGGCTTCTATTTTTCAATGCAGAAGCATTTATCCATGATACTGACTCAGGTATTCCATGAAACATGAATGTTTCTCTTTTTATACATCCTTGTTCATGTCCTATCTGTGATGTAAAATTTATGATGGCCATTTCTACTTCCCTTATTGATGTAATCACTGACGTTGTAAGAATCAACGTATATGTATATGTGATCTGGCCTTCAGAAGAATAACTGAGAAAGCAAAGAAAGACTAAGACAGGTAAGATTCAGGTAGGTAGCCATGTTGGTCTGATGCAGTTGATATATAGAGAGAGAGAGAGAGAGAGAGAGAGAGAGAGTCCAGTAGCACCTTAGAGACCAACTAAGTTTGTTCTTGGTATAAGCTTTCGTGTGCATGCACACTTCTTCAGGTATTCTTCAGGTATCCAAAGAAGTGTGCATGCACACAAAAGCTTATACCAAGAACAAACTTAGTTGGTCTCTAAGGTGCTACTGGACAATTTTTTATATTTTTATATATTAAGACAGGTAAGGACATTTATCACTAAAGTCACTAAGAAAAAAACATTCACTGACTCACATAGTGAGTGAAATCCAGCATGTCATGGCATCTGGTCATAACCATCTCCATCTTTAGCTTTTAAATGCCTCCTTTGTCAGGGGCAAGCCAGCAATAAATCACACAAAGAAGCAAAGTTAACCCTTTATTAGAAAAATCAGGATCTGCACAAGAGTGCCAGACCTAATGAGGACAGCAACTCTTTTCTGGTAGGCCTTGCCCCTATGAAGCAGTTGCAGAGACTGAAGGTACACAGGCTGAGACCCTACCTGCCTGTGGACTGCCTCGCCAGAGTGATGCATGCTCTGGTTATCTCTCGCTTGGACTACTGCAATGCGCTCTATGTGGGGCTACCTTTGAAGGTGACCCGGAAACTACAACTAATCCAGAATGCGGCAGTTAGACTCGTGACTGGGAGCAGCCGCCAAGACCACATAACACCAGTCTTAAAAGACCTACATTGGCTCCCAGTACATTTCCGAGCACAATTCAAAGTATTGGTGTTGACCTTTAAAGCCCTAAACGGCCTCGGTCCAGTATACCTGAAGGAGCATCTCCACCCCCACTGTTCTACCCAGACACTGAGGTCCGGCGCCAAGGGCCTTCTGGCAGTTCCCTCACTGCGAGAAGCCAAGTTGCAGGGAACCAGGCAGAGGGCCTTCTCAGTAGTGGCACCCGCCTTGTGGAATGCCCTCCCACCAGATGTCAAAGAGAAGAACAACTACCAGACTTTTAGAAGACATCTGAAGGCAGCCCTGTTTAGGGAAGCTTTTAATGTTTGATGGACTACTGTATTTTAATATTTTGTTGGAAGCCTCCCAGAGTGGCTGGGGAAACGCAGCCAGATGGGCTGGGTATAAAAAATAAATTATTAGTATTATTATTATTCCCACAGCTGCCTAAGCCCCCTCTTCTCCAGGGTTTCTCCAAAGCAAACCCAGACTGCATGTGCAAAGCACTAATTTCTCCTCCTTCTGCTCCTGTGGAATTCCCTCCCAGTTGAGATTAGAAAACCCCCTCCTTGCTGAACTTCAGGAACATGACCAAGTCTTTCTTGTACCGGTGGGCATTTTATGGAAGTGCTCAGTATTGGGGTGGTGCGGGATCCTTCTACATGCTAGTGGGTGCCTTGTGCAATAGGGGCTCCTGAGCACATGGTGGAATCTGTATAATTGTGGCCTGTTTCTCCTTCAGACCTTTACCCAATGCACAGAGGTCAAGGTGTGTGGTACTGTGGGTATGGCCTATAACAGGGCCTGCTGCCCCCGAGACAACCCTGTATTGGGAAGTTTTTAATGTTTTATGTTATGCTTTGTTCCTTTATATTTTGTGGGAAGCTGCCCAGAGTGCCTGGGGCAACCCAGTCAGAAGGGTGGCATATAAGTTGTGGTGGTGGTGGTTGTCATGTTAACCCTCCATGTGACCAGTGTATAAAGAGGGCTAAAATCTTAGTAGGGCTAATAATGTAAGAAGACATAGACATGATGGCCATACAGTGTCATGCTGCATAGAGGCAGGTTTTATTATTGTTGTAAAAATAAAAGGTTGCAGCAGTGTTGCATATCATACCTGCACATATCAGGGCATGGCTGCAGGTAAATGGATGGATTGCCATTGTGCCTGATCCTGCAGCCATATTTTCCACAAGAGACAGAGAGCGGGTGGGGGCTCATGCTCTCCTCCCTTCTTTGTGAGATCAGAAGCATCTGCTTACACTTTTAAATTAAATACAGTTCTCTGTTATGATCGAACAGGGAGAACTTTGGTTAATTTAAACTATAGTTTGCTCAAACAAGTCAGAATCAATCTAGTTTATGATCTTGGCTTGTTAACAAACTATAGTATCTAGAGCAGGCATCCCCAAACTCGGCCCTCCAGCTGTTTTGGGATTACAACTCCCATCATTCCTAGCTAACAGGACCAGCGGTCAGGGATGATGGGAATTGTAGTCCCAAAACAGCTGGAGGACTGAGTTTGGAGGTGCCTGATCTAGAGTTCCTCTGTTCAGGCACAACAACAACAACAACATCAAGCTGCCCTCTAGTTTGTTTAAAATGAGAAATGCAGTCTTTTGATTACTTTGCAGCCACAGATGAGCATTACAGGTGTGTGTTTAAGTCCAAGGTTCACATTGATCCAATGATACCAGCTTTTCAAAGTCTGACAGTCATTTGCACTTCTAGCACAACCCCTGCTGCTGCTTAGCACCCACTAGGTAATTCCACTCTCTACCCCACCCACTTAGGGAACTACTGATTTAGTGTTATGTAGAAAACACACCCTTGAGAATATTCAAGGAAACAGCAGTTGCATCAGAGCCACTTCAGATATCATCATTTAGGGACTGCTAGGCAATGACCGTAGGAGCTGGTCACCAAATTGGACTGCCAATCTTTACTGTACTTCAGGCTGCCAAAGAGACAGTTTGCAGTGATATGAGAGGGGGATTAGAGGTTCTATTCAAGGATGCCACAAATAACTGAAATGGGGAACACACTTCAGTTACTCATGAGTAGGTCCAGTTTGAGCAGACTATAAGCAGGGCCCTAATCAAACCAAACTCTGAGTGCTTGGCTTCCACCTCATTTATTTCCCACAAAATCTATACACTGCTTGATTGTAATGCAAATCTCAAAGTGGTTTACTTACATAAGGCATGAGGAGGAGAGGTTTCCAGCTCCACTTTCCTTTCCTCCTCCACAAAATGAGGTTTTAAAGTTATTTTTTTTAGGAAAAGCACCAAAAAATCAATACTCCTGATGTGGGCTTCCCAGGTTTTCTGACATTTCAGCCAATTTTCAAACATTCCATCTGGACGCCATTTCCAACTGGTGAATCCCAGCTATGTCCAGGAAATTACAGACGTATGGCAGCCCTATCCTAATGCCACCTTCATCAGGAAGGCATGCGCCACCTAGGAACTGCCTCCACCTTTCTTCTGCCCCAAGTAAGCGTGGTAAGCCATGGAGGGAAGGAGTTGGGAGAGGAGGTGGTGGAAGAGGAGGAGATAGTTGCAGAGGTGGAGGCAGCTGCCTATTCACCTGTGAGTGTTTTTGTGTGGCTTACTTGGAGTGCATGTAAAGGCCAAGTCCCTCTGGGGCAAGCAAAGGGATGCTGGAGTATCCCAAGTTTCCCCTAAGGAGCAGTGGCACACACACAGCCCACTAGCAATTAGCTTTATCAATATGGACATCTTCATTTCCTCAGAGTGCTGGGCCCATGTGGCTCCAGAGGCTGGGTGTGGCTCTGCTACGGCTTCCCTGAGGAGCAGGGCACCCAAATGAATATTTGCTTTTTAAAGAGGGAAATTGTGGCGACTGGGCTGCATTAGTCTCAGAAAGCCAATGCTGAGTGCTGATGCCTCACCTCTTTCCCACCACATTGCCATCCCTTATCATCTGCTGCTGCATCAAGGGATCTTTTGAGACCACCTGGGCTACCTGCTCCTGGACTTGGCCCTGCAGCCCATCAGTTATGGTACCACTGTCCACAGTACTAAGAAGAAAATTATTATCCTGCAGGTGAATGAGCTGCATGGCTTTAGAAGTGTGATCAATATCCATGCATATATAAGCATATCATTTCTGCTTGACCTCAAGAAATAGAAGAGTAAGCAATGGCTTATAGCAAAGAGGAGAAATAAATAGAAAGATGGCTTTAGTACAACTTTGTGCACTGCTACCCATACAGGCATCAGCTTTTAACTATCCAGGCCAACTATCTGGCCATTCCCTTACCAAAGGATCCGACATTCAGTAAGTCATGGGTCAAAGCCAACAGTAATAATCGCTTTATGACTTTTCATTGGCAGTGTGGATTGATGCTTCTCACAAGTTGGTCTTGGAGACTGCACAGTTATTTTCGACTTGGCAAAAGACTTGGGGGAGTCTTTGCAGGCAATTAGTGTCACTAAACACCCTTCCTCCCGCAACAGCAGACACAAGATGAAAGACAGCCTGCTCTGCACACGAACAGAAACTCAGATTGATCTGTTGACAGGTGGAGAGTCATGTTTTTTGTGCCTCTCTTGCATGGGACTTCTCTTTCCCAGATAGCTTAAAAGATGCTTGCTGCAGAGAACTCAGAGAGATGCTTGTTGCAGAAGCAGCTAGGCTGAATAATTTAGCAGCTCTTCCCCTTAAAAGGAACTGATTGCATCAGAGCTGTTGCCTGTTTACAATGGGAGGGGACATGCCCAATATACTTGTCTTTGCACCATTTCTTAAGATATAACTTTTTAACCATTCATGAAAAAACAAAACACTCTGCTGGATCAAACCAAAGCCAGTGTAATCCAGCAAAATCTATGTAATCTACAATGGCCAACCATTGTGGATACATGTACAGTGGTACCTCGGTCTACAGACGCTTCAGGTTACAGATGCTTCAGGTTACAGACTCCATTAACCCAGAAATAGTACCTCGGGTTAAGAACTTTGCTTCAGGATGAGAACAGAAATCGTGCAGCAGCGGCACAGCAGTAGTGGGAAGCCCCATTAGCTAAAGTGGTACCTCAGGTTAAGAACAGTTTCAGGTTAAGAACAGACCTCCAGAACGAATTAAGTTCTTAACCCGAGGTACCACTATAATCCACAATGGCCAACCACAAAAAGCCCATCCCTGCTTCCCCCTAGATGTTTATTTAGCTCACATGTGCAATGCCTAAATAGTGCTTCAGTTGGTGCCCATCTTAATGGTGGCAAATTCCCAAAGTTAGCTATGTGTTGCATGAAATAGCATTTTATTTTGTACCCCTCTCCGACTCTTGTCCTTGGTGGCATCTGCTGCTTTTACACCATTTTGTTTTCCTAGCAGATGCTGCTCTTTCCTTGGAGCAATCATGTAGACGATCTTGTCCAACTGGAGACTATACAGGGAATGGAATGATGACACAGTGCTTCAGATCTGTGAATACAAAGACAAAATAGGGAGCAATGTGAAGAGGGAGCACTGGACTTCCTCAAAGGGAGAGGGGTTTTATTTCTTTATATGTGTATTCACCAGCAGTCTTGTACCAAGCATTGCTCAGGAATTCTAATAAATCAAAAACTTGGTGCAGTTTTGAAATTGGGGATTAAATCAGTGCGGATTTGAAAGCTTCAGCCCACTGTCTTGATTCAAAATGGCATCCAATTGTATCCAAGCATAGAAAAACACTGCTCCATTTCAGTAACCATCATGCAAAATAAGATTATGATATCTTAAGAGGCGTCTAAATGCATAGCAAATAAACAACGTTCCAAGATATATGCTAGCTATATCTTCTACTGCCAAAAAATATAGCAAAGAGGACTTCTTAAATTTCTAACACACACATACATTTTTTTATTATTATTATCTTGCCACCTCTTTTCACTATACTGTATTATCCGCCTCAGAAAGATCAGGAACTGAGGCCTCCTTAATCTCCTCAGTAATTAATCCAGCCTTTTCTTGTGCACTTAGTAAGTAACAGAAGAAGACAGATTAAGCAGGATACAGGCTCATTGTTTACCTCAATTCTTACCTCAGAATTATGCCTCTGTATGAAGGAGCTGGTGTGGCAAAGAAGCATAGAAACCTCCCCTGAATGCAAGCGGGAAAGTTGTCAAGCCACCATGAACAGTGGGCTGTATAATTAAAGGATAATTGCATCCTTAAAGCCCATGCTGCATTTAATGAACTCATTCCATTTAAATTGGCTATGAGTCAAGAGCAGGCAATGGAACTCTTCCCCTCCCTCCTTGGTCTTGGAAAGGGAGGGAAGTGAAGGAGGGAGCTGAGAGAGAGAGAGAGAGAGAGAGAGAGAGAGAGAGAGAGAAAGGTGGGATTTTCCCCATTCTAATTACAGCAGAAACAGCCAGTGCTTGACCCTTACCTCTCCAGCACCTTTCCTGCTCAACTACTTAATCACTGTAAACCAGTTTCTGTAATTAGTACTAGAAGCTATTTATCTTGGGTCCATAGGGCTGTGGTGTCAACAGAAATGTAGGTGCCAGAAAACAGGATATCTTACTAGGCAGTAGGGAGGGAGCGCTAGAAAGAGCAAATAACATTCAATCTATGCAACGTTATTATTTTTTAATTGTTTCAATCTACCTGCAATAACTGTTGGAATTTTTAGGGTTTATTGTTATTGTTATTGTTATTGTTACTGTTACGTCATAGGCCTCATGAAGGTGGTGGGCATGTGTTCAAGATATCCAGCATGCTCTGAAGGTTGGGGTCATTTTCCTGTTAGGAAAGCTGGTTGTCTTCTTGGAGAGCTTAGCATGGCTTCAGATGAATCACACGCTGCCTCAGTACAAAAAGGAAGGCTGGTGTGAAGTTTAAAAGAGCTGCGGCTGTTGTTTGGGTTCCAAGTAGCTTTATCGAGTTACCAAGAATTAACGACAACCAATGTGGGAAGCCATTCTGATACAGAAGGCGGTGAGAAGCCAAGCTGCAATTTGATTCCTTTATTTGGATTAATTGAAAATCACAAAGTACTTGAGCTGGCTTTCCATTATCACAGAACATTTTCTCAAACTTGATGCTGAACCGTAAATAAAGGCAGGTGACTGGGGGAGGGGAGAGGGGGGAAAGTTTGCAAGCTGCACCAATTAACGCTGGGATAAAGAAGCAAAATATAAATGCCAGTGGTCATTCAAATTTCTCTTTAGCACCATTGAGAACTCAGGGGCCCCTGTAAGGAAAACAGCAGAAGTTTAAAACAAAACATGACGTTCAATACATTAGCAAAGTTGGAGATTAATTTTAGATTCTGCTTGCAGAATGAATGAATGAATGAATGAATAATGCTTGTATAAAGATTATTTGACTGTAATTGCTCTGTTTTTAGAAGAGTTGGTATTTTAATCCTTTATAATTAGCTAAGCAATCAGATTGTGATTTTTAAAATATACTTATAGACATATAAGATGCCCTACAGTTGGTTAAAAAGCAACACTTTTTAGTGACTTTGAATAATGCACTGCGCCCGTGCTCACACAATAAAAAAACTGGTTTTTGTTTTGTTTGCAACTGTGTAATTTACTCCCATAAACATCCACTGTAAAAATACTTTGCAATAATAAAGTATTTATGTTTTTTGCTTTGGAGTGCTTAGGTTTTGAATGGGATGTTATAGCGTTTTGGGCTTTGTAAATGATACACTGCTTAAATACCTTAACTCTTTGCAGGTTTTTTTTAAAGGCTTTCTCTCCTAGCTTTGGAATTTTCCAGCTCCTTTAGTATTGGCTGCTTCTCATCAAGGCTGGCTACTATGCCAAGGTGCCCTCTACCACTGCTTCTAATAAATCCTGCCAAATGGTGGGTAGCACTCTCAGCAGTGGTGGGCAGTTTATAGTTGCCCTTTGCATATCCTGTGAAAGCTTGGATGTAGCAGCACTTCAGGGCACCACAGAAAATGTCAATGGGAGTTCAAAGACACTTGCCAGTCATTGGACTGCTGGGAAAGGGGAGCTCATGACAAGCCTCAGGGGTGAGGCACCCTGGCAGCTGCCCTAGGATGCTGGATGCTCTGTTACTTACAAAGAGAATTCTGCAAACTGCTCATAAGACTTTATTCTCTGAGGGCCCCTTCCCATGTTAAAATGCCAATGGGTTGTATCACAGACCCATTGTTTGGGCAAAGTGAATCTGGGCCTGGATGACATGTTGCCCAACTCAGCACCCCTGAGGTCAGTTTCTGGAGCTGAAAGTAAGGGGATGGACTCTGAAGAGCACCACTGCTGGCCAGGCAAGGACAGAGGGACATATACTATACCCATATTTATACTACACCTGCCCTCTGAAACTACAGCTCCCATAATCCCAACAATTGGCAATGTTAGCTGGGGCTGGTGGGAGTTGTCTGAAGCACCATGTGATTCCTGCTGACAGGGAGGGAGAGGCAGCTGAGGAAGAAGACTATGAATGGGAGGGGGGAGATATGACATAGCAGACCATTCCTGATGAAGCCCCCCACTTGCTGGCCCCAAATGGGCCTGGGGCACTGATAAAGTGGGACACTGCTTCTTTACCACATGTGGAAATTGAGGAAGGCTCAGGACCGTGGCCTGTTCAGACAAAGCAGAAAGATTCAGAGGGAAGGTGGAGCCACTCCTGTTTCCTAGGGAGAGGTGGTGGATTAAGTCAAAAGAGGAGACTTGACCCACTAGATGGAGTGACTGCCTGTCGGCCAAGAATCCTGCAAGGACAAGGATGCCCATGAGTAACCATTTTCCATCTCTGCTTAGAAGCTTGGTGGGTAGGTAGGGAAACTCACTGGAACAACTCGGCAGCTCCCCTAGTCTTGGAACTCCTGTTGCTAATCTTGGTCTCCTGAACCTTGGCTCTTACTCCTTTGCCTTGAAAGAGCACCTGGACTAGATTCTGTTTTTGCATCGATGCTGAGTTTGCACTGTTAGACTGCCAAAATAAAAGTCAATTGCTTTCCCTCTTTACTTTTATGTAAGCAAACTTGTCGTTGGTTTGGGAAAGGAGTCAAGACACCCTGTCCCATAGCCATTCTCTGGCTGTTCCTTCCACGGAAGAAGCATGATGATTGGAAAGCCCAGCTACAGGTTGGCTGCTTGCTATCCAGATTTCAGATCTCACCTGTTCTCATTCTCCCAGGCTGCCTCACCTTTAGTTGAATACTTCTCTTGCCTGTGCTGTGTGAATAGAAACACCATGTTAACAATGATTCAATCGTGCATTTCTAAGGTGCATTTTTAGATGACCATGCCCTTGCAGGGGTTTTATTTTTATTTTTTGACTGCCGTGCACAGTACATTGTATGCTGCTGTGTTATCACAAACTCCCCTGGTATTCCTTCCTGAACCAGCAATTTGGTGTGTGTGTGTGTTAATTTTAAATTATCAGTCCCTCAGTATGGGAGGAAGGTGAGGTTGAGGCTGAGTAATTGGAGGCCAAGAGGCAAAAGTCTCTGACAGAACAGAATTGATTGAAGCTTTTCACTGGAACACTTGAAAAATCAATGCCTGTTCCCTAGATTGCACGAGTGTGTTTACTGTATTCAGCTGCTAACATTAAAAGTGAATTCCAGCAATTGCAATTACAGCTTTCTGCTTCCCCTCGCCTAGCCCTTCTCTTTGCTTGGCTTTCGTTTTGTCTTGCTTTCGAGCCTAAGGCAAAGCTAATGCAGTCAAACTGAAAGCGGCTTTATAAATTGCAACTCACCCCTTTCCCTCTCCTCTGGGACCCTCTTTTTCTTGAGCACTGTCAAACTTGATTCAGCTCAGAGGCATGGAGCTGCCTGGCTGAGGAGATTTCAGGGCTCAGTGTGGCCTCAGTAGCTAGGCGCATGGCCAAAGTATGTTAATCCTAATGCTCTCTGATATCACTATTTGATTTCCTAGTGCCTGATGGCAGGAATTTTAAATGCTGTTGAGAGAAGCGTCGGGGATAAGGAGGTGAGTGCTTTACTCTATTCAGAGGTGTGGGTGTGTTTTAGGAGATGAATAAAAATTGGGGATGGGACGTGGGTGACCCTGATTCATTGGTACCACTTTACACAATAGAGGTTAAGATGGTACAGATATGCAAAATCTGTTCACTCCACAATACCTGAAGCAGCTGTGTATTGCAAGTCCAGCTGGAGGAAAATATGCCTATATTTGGTTCAAACACAATACATACATAGCATGTCTATGCATTTGCCAGGCAGCTTTCTCAACTATTCCCACCACAAACTGTCATCCTTAAGAGACATTTGTAGAAGCAAGTCTTTCCTAGGCATCCACAATATTTTTTTCCATCACCCCCTTCTCCTGTGCAGGTTCTCTTCTTACCACAGATAACAGGCTGCATCCCCCAAAATGCATGGTGGTGGGGCACAAGCCCTCCACCTCCCAACAATCCTGGAAGTAACAGGGTCCTTGCACTGGGAATGACTTCATCCACTTTCCTGGGGATTCATGATTCTTTTCTCTATAGCAACAGCCCCCTTTGATTCCTCTTCTGTCCACCCTAAATAGTAAAGTCTGTCCTTGTGTGAGAACCATCACAATTATCATTTCAAAAGTTAGGAGGTGTGCCTGTGCCTGTGAAAGGGAGAAAAAATTATCACAA